TTGTCCCCCGACGGTGCGGCGGTGTTGGACCTCAAGCAGCCATGAAATTTCCTCGGTAAAATCAGCGGGATCGGAGTATTAGCCGTAAACTCTTTAAGGGATTTGCATAAAACTCTTTGGGAAGAATTTCCCGACGCTAAAACAACTTCAGGGCGACCTGCCTTTTTTTTTTCCCCCTTCTTCTTTCTTATGATTCTTTGTTGTTGTTATATATGTACATATATGTGTGTATATATATATATATATATGTCGAGATCTGGTAATGAGGGGAACCTGATTTTTTTTTTTTTTTAAATCTTTTTAAGAAGAATGTTTTAGCCACCGAAACTCCAGTTATTCTCCAGAAATAAGACCCTTTCGTTAAGTGTAGGGTACTTCTGCTAGAAGTGCTTTGCAAAGCCCCATGGTTATTAACGTTGTCATAAAACTATCGTATATGCATGTGTTTCTGGTACAGTTGCCTACCAAGAGACTTAAGAGGGAAAAGAAAGATGCTGATTTCTTGCCCTAACCTTTTTCTTTCTGCAAGAAGCTGTAGTGTTGTGGTCGTTAAATGAGCATCTATACAATTACTTTTCCTCTTTTTCTTCTTTCCTGGTGCTGGATTCCCTGTGGTCAGGTTTCCAGGCAGACTCAAGCGCAGGATTCCTACCATGATAAAGGCAGAGAGCACCCCGAGGAAGGTGAGAAGTGTGCAGTCTTGTCTTGTGATACTGTCCCCCTGTGAGCCTCCACACGGTTGTCAGGCTGGAGCTTGGTTTCTCTTGGGAATCATAAATTTAGTACCTTTTGGGGAAGAGGGATGCCAGGGCTCTTTCAAAGCACATTTTGAAAGGAGATGAATGTGCAGCACGTTTATCTTGAGTGACCAAATGGTATTTCAGTTGTTTAGAAACTGGTAAGTAGGCCAAATGGATCTTTGCTGAAGAAATAACTATTTTTAGGATATCAGCTTAAATGCATCTATCTCCTCACTCATACAGCACAGCTGAGTTGTGTGTGTTCAGAAACTCTTGTGTATTTTGCCCCATAGCCAAATTCTGTTGCTTAAATCTCCCAAATCTAAGCATCAACAGACCTCTTGATTTTTTTAATGTACCAGCTGGTTAATTTTGATTGAGAAGGACAGAGGAAATAACAGAGTTTGCTGGATATCACATTGTAAGCTGAACACACGTACAAAGAATGTGTGCTGTGAATGTTGGGAGAGTATGTTTAAAATGGAATGCGTATTGTCGTGACCTAAACCAGATCGTAAATTCTCTGTAAAGACAGACACAGATCAGTCCTGGTGCTTTCAGGGACTCTGTGGTGATCTTTCTCCAAATTAGTCATTAAACAGCCTAAAAGCAATAATTGCCGTGCTCATAGCATTTTGGCAGTGAGGGGGAGGAGGTCAGCTCTGTATAGGTATTTTTTTTCAGCCTTGCATCCTTTTAAATCTCACTTTTTGAGTAGTATCATTGACAACAGTCATACTGGTGCAAGACCTGTTCACCCCCCTTTGCGGGTCCTGGACCCAAATTTGTAATTTTGCTGCAAAATAGCCTCCCACACTTGGCTTCCCTCTTGACTGTAGTGCCATGTGTCTTCAGTGGCTCATCCCCCCCAGATTGTTAGGGTCTCCTTCCAAGCCAGCCCCTGCTCTCTAATTGTTCCCGGTGAGTGCAGCCAGCATGAATTGCTTGCCACACGCAGTGGCTCAGCAAGAGAAGGAAATTATTATATCTAGTTATCACTGCCCTGTTCCTCTGTTTCCTAACAATGATTTTGGAAACCCGTATTGGCAATACTACTGAATCCACAAATCTTAGAGGGATGTATAACATGGGGAAAAACTGCTGCTTGATAAATGTGATGTCCTTGGTGGTGTTTCTGCCTATTTGAACAGGCACAAGCAAAATAAATTGGTTACTCTGAGAGTATTCTGTATTTTAAGCACAAACTCCTCACTGAGAGTACTCGCTCCTTTAAGAATTGACTCTTCTTTAAAAAACAAATTTTACAAATTGCTGTCGACCACTTTCTGTCAGAAATAATTTCCATGAGTAAGGAAACATTTGCATGGAGAACATTTTTATGAATGCACAGTACCTGTTTAAGAGATCTAACTTACAAGAAACGCGTATGTGAGGATTAATGTAATCTTTGTTTCCTTTTCCATAGGAAAGCATCCAGACAGTGGCTTATACAGCAAGGGACCATCGTACTCTGGTTATTCTGGGTATATCATGATGCCAAATATGAATAACGACCCATACATGCCTAATGGATCTCTGTCGCCACCCATCCCCAGAACAGTGAGTTATCTCTTCCGAAGACTGGTTTTGGCAAGCTGGGCTTCCTCCTGTTCGGTCTGCAGCGCGTGTTCACCCTGAGATTTTTGGGTTAGCTTCAGTTGCAGTCAGGGTTGTGCTTCTGTTGTTCAGAGCCTCCGTCCAGTGGAGTCTGGGAGCTCTTAGAGGTGTTGGTTGCGATTGCATTGGAGAAGCTGAGATTAATGTCTATGGTGTCTGACGTCCTTTGAACAGGGCTGGGGGCTTTGGGGGGGGAGGGGGGTCTTTCTTTACAACTGTAGGCTAATGTACGACGAAATGATGTAAATGCTGTCTTTGTAGTGACTGGGACAGATGTGAATTTTCTCGATTTAACTCTCAGTTTGTTGAGGAGAATCGAGGGCTGAAAGCAGAACTGCTGAAGTTGCTTGCCAGTAAGATGAAGAGATCGGATTCTTTTTCTTTTCTCTTCAGAAATGGCATTGCTCTTTGCTGATTTGTGTTTATTTCTGCCATCATTTGTTCTGTGTGAACCTTTTGTTTATCTGGCAGTACTGATTTGCAACATATTTTATATCTTCAGCCACAAATTGTGAAATGGTTGGTTAGGAATTAATATCAACTGTGATGCAGTAATTAGAGCTTTCATTTACCTTGTGGCTGGAACCGATTCTTCCAGTTTGGTCCTGTTCCCATTGATGTAGATGCACACTTGATGGGTTTTAGTGTACTTCAAATTTTGGGTAGTCAATTCCTATTTATTTTTTGTAAACCTCTTGGTATACGTACAGAGAGAAGGGGAGGCGATGCTAAAATGAGCTATGGAAATTTTATTAGTAGAACCAGAATGGGGCGGGAGACAAATCTGTTTGTAGGCATCCTGCTG